TAATAATTATATCACTATTTTACTTTACATTAACAAATAAATCTCAAAACTTAGAATTGATAGAAAATTGAGAATTGATTTTTCTCACTTTAGAATTGAGAAAAATAAAATACAACAAACAGTTAATAAGATAATCAGTTATTTTAACTCAAATAAATACTTCAAGATCAAGCTGAGCCACCATAATTAAAGGCTAGAAGAGCTATACTTAACATGGGAACTCAGCATCAGAAGCTATAAAACCAAGGTTCATAGTTATACTGCTGCTCAGCTTAAGTCGAAAAGAAATGTAAGTTTGTATCATAGAAATAATTAGTAACAGGTGAGAAATTAGATCACAATTCTCACTCCAAAAACAAACAAAAGCACTAGGAGCTACGAAAGTAAGAAACACTTAAAATCAGAGTTTAAACAAAAAGGTTCATACTTAAAGAAACATAAACATTAAATCACGAGTAAAAACGACTTACATTCAGATAACTACTCGCAACCAGAAATCAGAAATGAACGGATGTCGGTAGAACAAGTACAAATCAGAGGGTTAAAATCAGTGGTTAAATTGAAACAGGAAAGTGAAATGTATGTCAATAGAACCAGTAGCAATCAGAGGGTTAAAATCAGTGGTTAAATTGAAACAGGAAAGTGAAATGTATGTCAATAGAACCAATAGCAATCAGAGGGTTAAAATCAGTGCTTAAATTGAAACAGGAAAGTGAAATGTATGTCAATAAAACCAGTAGCAATCAGAGAGTTAAAATCAGTGCTTAAATTGAAACAGGAATGTAAAATTATGTCGATAGAACCAGTGGCAATCAGAGGGTTAAAATCAGTGCTCAAATTGAAACAGGAATGTAATATTTTTCTTTGATATCACAGTATTTACCTGTAGTTTAGGTTCCAAAAGCAAGTACGCATTTAAGTCTTGTGATGTAGAATTTTCCCTCTGAAGACTTCCTTCTACAAAAATAATATAAAAAGGCTGATGAAACATTAAATTTTACAAAATGATTATTTTTCATTAGATTTAAGACTTACAAGCACTTTATATGATACACTGAAAAACGTCTATAAATATTAAAAGATTTTATTCCCACTATAATTTTTCTAAAGTGAAAATTCTCACTATAGAGGAAAGTACACCACTTTAAAAATGGGCATACCCGATAGACTGATAAAGTTGTTGTTACTATCATTAGATAAATCTTGAAAATTGATAATTAAAGATCCATAATGTTTGCCCTGTGGTCAGTTTTTTTCATTACAATTTTTGGCATTTTATTACATTATTGCCAAAATTATGAATTTCTACAATTCTTGTTCAGTGATAACATTACCACTGGAATGATAATAGTATACAATTCTTGTTCAGTGATAACATTACCACTGGAATGATAATAGTATACAATTCTTGTTCAGTAATCACATTACCACTGGAATGATAATAGTATACAATTCTTGTTCAGTAATCACATTACCACTGG